GTTTTTGTTTGAAAGCATCACCTGTTAGCTTCTCCTGGGCTTCCTTCATCCCTTGGACAACTGAAAGATTAGACAAAGAGACAGCAACTATTAATCTCCAAATGAAAACATCAAGGTGTCCTGGTAATGAAAGTGTTTTAAAGTAACACCATTACAGAATGTACATCTACAAATTAACCTGTGGGAAAAAAAAACAGTCCTGTGCCCTTTTCCCAACTATCTGTAGATGGATCATGTGAATTGCATGATTTTCCATGCCATAACTGCAGAACCAGTTTAGGTCCTATGGACATGATAGGAGGTATTAAAGTGAATCATGACTCTGAACATGGTTCCTCAAGGTGTAAGAGAACCACTCACTCACATTGTATCTAACAGCTCCCAGTTACGCTGTAAAGTATGATCATTTTTCTCCACTCGGATGTGAAGGTGTGTCCTTCACTCAGGAGGCAGCCAGAGTTACATCTCTAAAAATCTAGAGTTTCATCACCAAAAATACAATTCAAACCACTTTGCACGTACCTTGATCAGCATTGGTATAGAAATACTTGTAGCTGGGGTTTCCTTTCTCATTTATGATTTCTGGGTGGACTTTTCCACTGGGGTCTATGAAACAAGATAACAAATGGGAAATTAAGGTGGTAACAGTAACAACACAGTCCTCTGAGTGGATACAACCGCTGTGGATGCCCTACCCATGAAAAGGATTCTGGGAATGTAACCTCCATCAGGACTAAAAGCTTCATCCTTTGGCTCTTCATCATCCTACCAAAGCAAGACAGAAGAAGGAACATATTAGCAAGGTACCTAACAAAGTACAGCACTCATTTTAAAGAAACAAGAGATTGTCTTCAGATTCTATTTACCCTGAACAACTTACATCTTAAACAGACACTGCAGCACCTTCCACTCTCAAAGGAAAGTTATTTTGACCTAAACAAGTATCATTTATGAAAATTTTATTTTTTTCTGTTCTGTCAACTTGCATTAAATGTTCCGCTTTGGTGTAGGAATGTTTGATATGTCATGAGAGAATGACTATAAACTCTTCTATTGCAGCAACAGAATGACACAAGGTACAAATTGTTAAAGAGACGATGGCAGAGAGCCAGGTTTATGAACACAATTGAAATAACCAGACTGAAGAAAACTCTTTTTAAAACAATCAGCTATATCAATCGATCCTTAATACCTATTCAGAGCTGCAGGATTTAGGATGTATACAAAACAGGATGCAACCAGTTAAGTAGGATTCCAAATGCTTAATTACTAAGCAATAACATAGAAGAAAATCAGAGGGCAGCCTACCTCAAGGTTGACCATAACAAAATTATGGGCAAGTTCAGAGATCTCCTTGGATTCAGCAAACTTTGGCTTTAGAGCTAGTTAATTGGAAAGAAAAAAAAAAAAAAAAAAAAAAAGAGCTGTGTAAAGACAGTGGAAACGACTTCAAGTTTTCAGGTCAGCATCAAAATCTTGACTTCATTCCTCTCTGTGGAGAGCTGGTACTTTTCAATAAGCAGTGAGCAAATGGAATATGTGTATCAAACCATTCAGGCCAGGCTCAGAACAACCAGGTAATTGAAGCAATTTTTGCTGAGTAGCCACATGATGAAGCCTGGCCAACAGGCATACATGGTCATATTTGAATCAATGGAAGAGAAGCAAAAAGCTTGCTCTAAACCACTATTCTCACACAACCAGCTCACCCTTTAAGCTTAGCCATTATGCCCAGCTTGTTTGTTTGAGATACTGAAAGAGACAAAGCCTCACCTTCGAAGAAACACCAGCTGAAAGTAAGGCAATTTACACTTAATTCTGGAAGATCATTCGTTCTGCTCCACTTTTTTATAGCCAAGTGCAGGACAAATTGCTGCCACTACAAAAGTGCAGTATTGCAGCTGTTACTTTGCTGACATTTAGGCAAGGCTGGCTTTTGGCAGTGCTCACAGGTAAAGTGGTGTGATATTACACCACTCTAAATGAAATACAAATACCATCAGCTGTATTTTGAATGCAAAGTTTGAGTTTCTCATGGTTACGTGATTTGTATACAAAAGTTCATTAGAAATATCAGCAAGCTCTAGTATTAAATACACTCACCTTTGCAAGCTCCACACCAAGACTTATGGATGATAACCATAAGAGGCAAACCACTAAAAAAGGAAGAAAAAAAGAAAATTGTCAAAGCTTACAGTTGAGCCTTGAAACCAAATTCTATTACATGTACATTTTAACAGTCAAGACTTCTACAAAGGCTAAATGTAACAGAAAATCAGAGGTGTAAAGAGATTCTGCTATGTTCTAAGGCTATCTTGCAAAGCAAGTTTTCCCAATCTTACTCTAAGTGCCAGCCAATAACTGCTCGTGTAGAGGAAGAGACTTTCTCTTTGGAAGATTTGCTTTTATTAGTTTAGATTTGCCCAGATACACAACTGGTCATGCGTTTTTTACTGGAAGTGGTTAGTGACACCAGCTGCTTGAGAGATGTCAGGATGGGTTTCCATGGCTGCTGAAGGCAAGCCATTGAATGACAGTAATATATCCATTCCTCTCCTCATTACAGTCTGCATGTTGCAGTCACCTCCTGTGACTAAGACCCTCCATTGAGCAATAATCACACACAGTAACCCAGCAAACCCTCTGGCTGCCCAGCTAGTTTTCTACATGTTGGTATGCAGAAACAGATCTGACGCAAATGTGACAAGTGTCAGGACTGAGAAGGAGCAGGCCTGCATGGAACTGCAGCCTAAATAAAGTGCAATGCAAAAGGAGCAAAGTTATTTGTTATTATTCTCTCTCTCTTCCCAAATAGTTCACTTGACCTTTACTACCTATGCTACCCAGAGGTTAAGTTTCCATCACCTTGAGATATATTTAACCCTGTTCTTCAAAAATCTCTTTAGCATTTCACCTTCTGACAAAGTCAAGCTTACCAAGTTCAATTTCTCTAAATTGCTTTATAATATATTCAGGCTGACTTATGTGATTAGACAGAGGCCTTAAAGATACTACAAATTTGCCGTATTTCCTGTTAGTGCTGGTGATCCAATTAATCTACTACTTCACCGCTCCTGACTAAGTTGCATCAATTGTACCTTTCTAACAAGAAAAGTGATACTACAGGTAACTTTTGCTGCTATTGAGCACACCCAGGTAGTACCACACTTAACCCCACACTTTTTGCATGCAAAAGTCCTTACTGACACTTTAATTGTTTCTACTTTCCAACAGTTGAGCTGGTAAATGCTGACAAGGTGAATAAACTAAGAAAGAACAAGGAACTGGGTATCTCATGCCTCTTCTCTTACCAATAAACCCCTTAAGCTATGGAATAATATCCAAGGGAAGCTGGTAATAATGATATAGCTTCCAGAATAGTAAGAACATCCTAAAACTAGGTGAAGGAAAGGAAGGAATATAGAGAGAACATACTAGATGGATACTTCTTTCAGCATATGCCAAGCAAAGCAAACTGTAAGCTTTCTGTTACTGTATACCCTGTTACCGTATTAGGGGTTAAAAATAAAGTAAAATTTTCACACACACAGAAATTACAAACACCTTTGCACATAATGGCAATTAAACCACTAATAGAACTGATGTATGAGTTTTTTCTTTAGCTTTAGATGGATATGGAAGGAAATCTCTACTTAGCAGCATTCAGTTATGGCCTTCAGAACCAGGAAAGGGTGGAGGGGAAACCATTAACATTTACACTAGTTCAAGCAGAAGTCTGCCATTTGTAACTAACCAATATACGATCATTTTTACATAGGACTCTTTTTAGTAAGGAGCAAGAACACACATTTCCCTAATAAAACTTGTATTGCATCAGCATCCTTTCCCTAATGCTGAAGAAACATTTTTTTTCCCCATTGTTTCCATACAGTCCATCATCATTTTTCCTCTTTCTTGAGGAAAGGCTGTTTTAAGTTTGGAAAATACACATTGTTCTTACCATCAAGGATCAGTGCTTCATGTCAGAAGAGTTCAATCATCTGGTAATTGGTACTGCAACGCACTTTTTTTTTTTAAGAGAAAATGTCAAAGCAGATTTCACACAGTCTTGAAATACCAACTCAATAGTCAGTGAGAACTCACAGAAGTCTTAGGAGATTCTGAATTTTTTTTTCTCAGCTTTATTCTCTTTGACTGGGAAAATAAATTTATTTACATCAAAACATTTTTGTAGTAATTTCTGTTTTGCAATGCGTAAGTCCACCTAGCAGCTGGTATGTCAGATAAACAGCCACTGTACTCGAAGTAGCCCTTCCTGCCTCACATTACAACTTCCTCCCAGATAGCACTACACATACTATTAAAACCAAAAGCCACAATTTATTAAAATGAGGGATGAAGCATCCACCAGAAAGTGATAAGTTTATATAATCTATATACAGCAAAGACTGAAATTAGTTGAAACTAAGCACAAAACTAAGTTACCCATCAGAGCTGGTAACAGACTTATGAGAGAGTTTCACCCAGAACAGAAACTGTCATTTTAGCTCATTTTTCCTATGAGAGCACTCATTCTTAAACAATTGTTTTTAAAGGTGTTTATTGATGACCTTGCAGAGAAAAGACATAGCAAGTTATTTCAATAAAATAGTCCTGCAGGGAAATTGAGACTGTACTCCATTTAAGGCACACATTTTATTGTTCAACCCAAAACAGAAAGGTTTGAGTTTGCTAAGCCAGGACCCTCCTGCTGTGCCGAGTTTGCAGATGTATCTCTTGGGTTCAGCAGGATTTTTTGAAACAGTCACATCCTAATTATACAGCCTATTCCAGTTCTGGACCTGAAGTCTCTTCTGCAGTTTGGCATTATCTGGAGACAGCCTTGGAAAAACAATCTTCTTATTCAAGACATGCACATGCCAATGCGGAGGGGAAGATTTTTTCCTACGGTCATCACCTTTTGGGCTTTGATGTTCAGACGCTATTTGATTACTGGGGTTTAGGTCTCCATAGGAGGCTTCACTTGCCCGGGACTGCAAGAAAGATGTGAATGGGGAGAATGCAGGGGTCGGGCAACGGCATCCCTACCCATCCTCTTGGCAATATAGCTTGCTCAGCTGCTGCAGGGACATGGCATCCATCTTCCCAGAGCTGCTGTCTGATACGCGACAGGTGGGGACCCAGGCTCGGCCGGGTCTGTGGCTGGAGGGCATGTTCTTACTGTTGCGAGTACTCTGGGGGCAGATCAACGCTGCTGTGCACGGCAGAGCTGACAGGATTCACTGGATGCTGCGGCTCAGGTACTGCAGGAACATGCTGCCCAGCTGGGGCAGGTTTTCGTCACTGGGCTGCATCTTGGTGTAGCTGATGAACTGCCTCCGCAGGCGGCTCAGCTCGGCCATGCTCACGGGCCGGCTCAGCACCAGCTCTGCGGCCAGGCCGGGGACGCGGACCGGCTGCCCGGGCTGCGCCCCGCCGCTCTGGGCGGCCATGACGGCGGCCAGCACCTCCTGGGTGAGGCGGTCGAGGCGGTGGAGGAAGGCGCCGGATTGCAGGGGCTGGCTGCGGGTGGCGCGGTGCGGCGGCGGCGGGGCGCTCTCGAAGAGGGCGGCGCGGATGGCGGCCAGCGGCAGCGGCTCCTCCCCGCGCACCGTGAAGAGCGGCCGGTCCCAGCGGTTCCGCGGGTCGGGGGCCTCGAAGGGCGGCTCCTCGGGGCCGCCGGCGCAGTGCAGGAGGCAGCTCGCCGTCCCCGCCTGCCGCGCCGCGCAGTACAGCTCGTAGCGGATGCTCCGCACCTCGTTGCCCGCGTCCACGATCACCACGTCCCGCCGGCTCAGCCGCCGCTCCACCTCGGCCCGCAACGCCGCCCGGCCTCCCTCCGCCTCGGTCACGACGTGAACCTGCCGCTCCGGCCCGCCCAGAGCCTCCCGCAGCTCCGCGGCCCGCCGGCTCTTGCCGCTGCCCGGCCGCCCGCACAGCACCACCAGCGGCATCCCGCCCCCGCCGCCATGCTGACCCGGACGGGGACGGCGGCTGCTTCCGCCCGGGTCACCCCCGCCCCGCGGGCTCGCGTGGGAGCCGCCCCACGCAGGAGCGCTCGGCCGCGGCGGGGCTCAGCGCGGCCAAAGCCTCGGGCGGCCGCGGGACCGGCGCCCCCCCACCCCCCGCTGAAAAGCGCCGTCGTGCTCCGGTGACCCCCGAGAACCAGGCGCGCGGGGGCTGTGGGAGCGCCGCGTCCTCGCCCACGGGGAACTTAAAACCCACGAGGGCTCCAGCAGCTCCAGCACATCCGAATTGTACTGTGTACGGAATTGAAACCTGCGTCCGAAACTTCCTTGACCACTGGCTCTGATGCATTTCGCTCGATGCCCAACAGATAATTTTGTATAATTTTACATCTCCTGACCAGAGGTCAGACTTTGAGCAAAAATATCTGCTTTTTACGTTTATCTTTTCTTTGTTGTTGTTTTCTCCCAATCCTTCAACTCGGCCACACTCAGATGCTGCTGAACTCAAATCAGCAAGCAGGTCTGCGTTGCTGGAGACCAAAGGAGAGAGTGTGCATTATACCCATCCCCTGCTGTGGCGGGGTTCTGAGCAGAAACATCCTGAGTAAAACTGACATCTCACCATCCCTCCCCCCTCTGTCTCATTGTAAAACTTCCTCAGCCTCATTGCAAAGTAATGCTGTAACTATTCCTGCAAATACTGAATTGTCTTTTTTTTTTTTTTTTTTTTTTTTTGCACAGGTATATCAAATAAATGTCAAAATATCCAATTATAAAAACTTGTAAGACTCCTGAACTCTACCATCTGGGTTAATTTGGTGTCTACACTAGAGTGTGGAACTCACCAGATGGATCAGATTGAGAGCAGAATTCAATTAAACAGAAAATCTGAAAGGCATAATGACTTTCTGCTCAAGTCAACATTGTCAGATCTAGGTTATAAATTTAAAAGTAGAAATAGAATTTATAAGCACACAATTTTCCTTCTCACATTTTAACAATCAGAATAAATTCTGGGAAAGAATCTGTCAAAATGTAATTTTTTTACTTTTCTGTAGAGTGTTCTTTTTAGATTTTAAGCTCAACCCAGAAAAGGCTTGAATTAACTTATTGGTTCACTACAGTTTGAAACTTTCAGACTTCTGCAGTTGGTAAGAAGGTAACTCATTTCACACTGAGGCCTCATCGATACAGGCACATTGAATTTTAGGGAAGCTATTGGCACTGCTGAGTTCAAGGGGATTGAGTACTACTTAAACAGATGCTTGTGGGTTTGAGAACCATATTTTTTTTTACTATGATAAATACTCAATTATTTTATTCTCATTTCAAAGACATGCTAGGACTTCAATCATGTAATTAGATTGTAGTGACTAAACCCAGGTGGTGCCTCAGCAAAGTTAAAAAAACCTCTGTATTTTCCCTCTAAAAGGCTATAGGGATCTGAACAGTCTCATAAATTACCTTCATGTTTGTTAGTAATTACTATTTTCTGTGGTTAAATTTAGGATACAGAACCTTTGTGAATGTTTTTAAAGACACTTTTCTGTATTTAAAACTAGCTAACATACCTGGCTGCTGCCTCTTTCTTCCCATCTTCCAGTGTTCTCCAATGAATATGATCTCCAAAACCTGCCAGAGAGAAGGGTTTATAAATGCTGCATAATTTAACATGTCAACTAACAAAAGAAAAGAGTCCAACCCTCAAGAATAGTTTCAACTCATTTTATATATTTTTTTTTTTAAAGCCAACTATAATCCCAGTCCTGGAAACACTTCTGCAAAGACTTACAACCTACATATTCTTATGAGGAATCTCACTGAAATTAATTAACAAAACCATACCACCCTAATTAATATTTTAATATCAATATGCAAATTACACCAATCCCCCCCCCAAGAGATTAAAATTGAAGGACCTTCTGATTATTCCCCATTCTTTTTCAATATTTGAACATTTATTAACTGACTAGTGATATATTAAACATGTTGGCATTTGGTTTCCTAAATCCCACTGAACGTGAACTAAAGCAAAACTTAAAAATTCCTAGGCTAACATATGAACATTGGTTGCTCTAAAACTATTATGCTTAGTATTACTGCTGACAATAATATCATCAAGGAGTGAGAAAAAATGCCATTACACACATTTCTGAATGTTACTGTGACTGAACAATGTCAGAAGCATTTTATCCCATATCCAGATAACAAGTCTTGTTTTGTCAGTAGAGGCAAGAGTGACTGAGTGTATGTTTAACAGCTGCAAAGCAGGAACTGCCAGGTTTTTTGACCCTGTAGCCAACACAGCACATGGCCAAAAGCCACACGGAGACCTGAGATGAAGGAGATCTGGAAACTGTTCATAGGGGAACTCCCCTGGAAGACCTCCTCAGAGGTCTCATGGCTCCAGTAATGTGGGGCTGATGACCAAATACCAGCTTTGGCTTGCCCCTTCCCATCGCCGAGGGTTTGGGTTAGTCAGCAACCTCCAGTGCCCAGGTTGCTGTGGGGGGCAGATTTCAGGAGCTACACAGTGGTCAGGAGCCAAAGAGTGCACTATGCTGACACAGGGGAAAGTGGACACTGTCCCCAGTAGAGAACTATGGCAAAGAAGCTGGAGAAAGCCAAAATGAGGGTCAGCAAAACCTCATGGCACCTTAGTTCAGCATCCAGGAGGTTTGAAGAGTTGGCGCAGTATTTTTATTACCTTATTTTCTCTCCTGATATGAACTGTGAGCATATATGACGCAACACATCAAATATTTAGTTGTGCTAGCAGTAAAGTGGGGGTGTCTTTTCCATGTCCAATGATATACATGTATCGGCTGCAGAGGCAGCTTCAGACACAAGGCTATGTTTGTACCAGCTGAACGTAGCAGGGCAAAAAAGGTTGGATTAGCAGAAGTCACGTTTACTCAGAATATTGACACGTTAGCTATTTCATTCAAAGGCCCACATGTTAAAAGAGCGAAAACCTTCTATTGTTCCAGCTAGGAAACACTTTTTGAAAGCTTTTCTTCTTTAAAACTGAAACCCACTTTGTGGCAAGCTTCAGTATGTTTTTAAAAGCATTACACAACACATTACAGAGTGCTTCTTTTGAATGAAAGTCATCTGAGGGATTAACTGTAAAACAAAAGGGGAATGACTGAGATCCACACCACAAAGCTTTGCTGTCATTGATCAAATCGAGTTACTACCAGCTCTGAAGAGATTTATCTCTAAGCCAGGCTAAAGCCGCCACCCGGGGTGAAGCTCAGGGCTCTGGCGCACCCTGACTGCACCAGGCAATTAGACATGGCAATTACACCGCGATGCCCGGGCGAGCCAGAGGAGAGGTGAGGAGCGATCATAAGGGGAAAGGCAAACTGAGGGCGGGAGGGAATATCCATTCCTCGCCTGCCAGGACGCATCTGAAGGGGCCGGCAGAGGCCGGGCAGGGGCCTCAGCGGGGAAGCACTGAGGGGCTCTGTGTGTGTCCGTCCGCCCCCCCCCCCCCCCGCAGGCTACGTAAAAACAGGGCCCCTCGAAAGGGGAAGCTCCTCGGGTTTTAGCCGGAACAGAACCACGTCGGCAAAGATCGCTGAAAGACCCCCTCACCTCTAAAGTCAAAAGGCAGCGGTCTCCCTCTAAACCGCGGCGGCGGTGCCAGGCCGGCCCGGCCTCCCCCCGCCCCCGCGCCCCCTTCGCCGCCACGGGCTGTGGGAACCGGCCCGGCCCCGGCGCACCAATTCACGGCCACGACAAAAGTTGAGAGGAAATCCCGAAGAAAACGTTTGCCTGACCCTTTCCGAGCCCTTCCGCGGCGGAGGCTGCGGAGGCCGCCAGCACCAGGCACAGGCAGAAGATGAAGGCTGCCGCGGGCTGAGCCTTCATGGTGTCGCCGCCGGCAGCAGCAGCACCCCGGGTGCAGCACCTAAACCTCCGAGACGGGACCGGACCAGCTTAGGTGATTTTTTTGATATATATATATTTTTTTTTTCTCCTTTTTTTAAAGCCCAGGAAGTGATGTGAGGCGGATGTAGGCGGTGCGCCGCCCTCACCTCGGCTCGGAGGTGCCGGGGGAGGCGGGGAGGGAGAAAAGGGGCTCCTGTGGGGATCCTGTGGGGATCTCTCTCCTTGGCCCTCTGAGGGGGCGTTCAGCTCTTTCCCGCTCGGTCAGAGCAGCTCGGTTCCGCCCAGGTAGCCGAGGCTTCTGGGGCTGGAGTACCTCAGTCGCACCGGGTCCCCAGTCACTCTGGTGACTCTCCTGAGTCAAATCAGGGGTTACCCCGGCGGGAGCAGGCAGCGAGGGGTGGGTTCCGGATTTATTTTCTCCTCCCAAACAAACCCTTTTGTCCCGCTACTCTCGAGACTTGCTCAGCTGGTTGGGAAGGTAAAACCGACCGCAAGCAGTCGTGTAGGAGGGAGGGTTCGCCAAGGCGGACAGCGCGCCCCGGGTTTGGGTCACCTGGCATGGGTCACTGTCCCGCCGCGACGGTCCATGCCGCCCTCCCCCCGGCCCCGCGACTACAACTCCCAGGAGGCACCGCGCGCACGACGCGCCCGCCTCCTCACGGCCCCGCCCCCCCGACGCTATGCAAATGTGGCTCGGCGGCGCCGCCAATCCGCGGGCGGGTTGGCGTCGTCACGTGGCGCGAAGCTTCCTTTCTCTGTGCGCCCCTCTTTCCTTCCTCGGCCGCCATCTTGTTCTCACCGCGTGTTGGGCTGCGGAGGTTCCGTCGCGCTCAGGTGAGACCTTTACCGCTCCCGCCGGCATCGCTCCACCGGCACGGTTCCTCGCCTTTCCCTCGCAGCCTCTCGGGGCGGGCGGGAAGTCGCGGCAGCTCGTCCTCGTACCCGTCCCCCCTCCGCCGCGCTGGGCCGTGGCGGGGCCGCGGTCGCCGGCCGTTCCCTGAGGAGAGGACAGGGGAGTGAGGTCTTGCGCCGGGCCGCGGCGTGGTGGGGTCTGCCGCGGCTCGGGTGGCCCGCGAGTTTTCCCTGGGGACGCGGTGCCGCTGCCGGGCGGGGTTGCCCTGGCTTCCGAGGGACGACGGCGTCTTGATCCCTTCCCGCTCCCCGTGCTTTGGGGCTAGCCGGCGAGCCATCCCACCGCCCTGAGTCCCTTCTCCCTCCTCCCCGGCGGAGTCCCTGACCGTGCGGTGAGCCTCCCGGTGGGGCTGGGGCCCTCTTGTCTGCGGGAGTCCCTGTCCCCTCCTCCTCGTCGCTTCCTCGGCGGAGGAGGTTTCCCCCTTCGTTCAGGGGGATCATTGTTGACTTACTGGGGCAGAGCAGCGAAATGCCTTCCTTGTCCTGAAAACCTTGAGGTGCTTTTCCACCCATTACAGATTTTCAGGTCTTGCAGCCTTTAAAGATCCCACCTGACCTATTAGAGAAGCTGCTTGACTAACTCCCTAGTCATTCAGTTGAATGAATATTTGCCAGAGGTTCATATAGGAAATATGTCGAGAAGCGAACTTCACTGAGTTTGGAGCTGGCTTATTAGTTAAAAGTAACACTCATTATTTGGAAATAGTATTTGAAGTAGTGTAGTAATGAATCTTTCCCTGGCTCTCTTTAAGGTATTTTCCTAATAGCAGTTGTGCTGTACATGCTGATTTGGGTCTGTTCAGAGTCAGCAGTTCTGTCAAATGGTTTCAACAGTGAACTGGCATACTTGGAAATTCATAGTTAATACTTAAGACTAATGAAAAATTAAATGTCCTGTTGATTTGTCTCATCATGGCATAGATACTTCAGCTAAACAGACTGCTGCTGGACCACCTTGTATTATTTCAGTGGTGCTTTAAAGCTTTTTGTTTATGTTTATTTGTTTGATGCACTGTTTCAGCAAATTTTCCATAAGTTAAAAAACTTACAGCAATTTTAAGAATGCTTTTAAAATGGGCTGTGAAATTTTTTTCTTAATGTTTTGATTGTTAACTTGTATTTGTATCTCATTCTTTAGACACAGCACTATGAACCAAGAAAAACTGGCCAAGCTTCAAGCACAGGTCCGAATAGGAGGAAAGGTAAGAAAACCATCAGAGATGTACTGTTTTCTGTTATTTACAGATTGAAGGAGAAACATCTCTGACATTTGGGTTTTTTTTTTTGAAACATAGGCTTTAATTCATAGGAGGAGAAAAAAAAATATTTGACACTTCAAAGATACAGGTTTTGTGTGATCTGAATTGTAGTACTGCTTCTTGAATTAAAATTTTCTTTCAGTTCTACAACTGCTAGATGAGCAGTTTCCAGGTGTAAGCTTTCTTTTTAATTCAGTGACTTGTTGTGACCTGTGCAAGCTCAAGTTAAGCTTACCTGTTCGTTGTTCCAGTTCTGCCCTTCTTTTCTACATGTTGGAGAGTTCTTTCCTTTGTGCCAGCTCCAGGGCTTATCTGACTCTGCACTGAGCTGTTTCTTTTCTCTGAGCCAGCAGGTAGCTAATATGACAAAAAAAAAGCATGTAGTTTTGTTCGATGTGTGTGTTCATCTTCTAACCATAGGTGGGGTTGTACAAAAGTTTGTGGAGCAGAAATTTCAAAATTGAAAGTGAGACCTTTTTAAATCACTGTATT